GTGCCCAGCCCCCGGGGCCCACGAGCTGAGGCTGAGGCCGCTGTGAATCCTGCCTTCTGGGTGGCGACCGGACGGCATCGACCAGGCACACGGCCAGTGCACTTGGTCTCCAGGGAATCGCAACCCCAGCCACAGGGAGGCCCTCCCCCACCAGGACAGCGACTACAAAAACAGCAGCAAGAACCAGAGAACACGTGCTGGCGACTGGGGCACTGTTGGTGGGAACGTAGCAAAATGGTGCAGCTGCTGAGTCCCGTTGCTCCTCGAACAAGTAAACAGAGCACCCTGGCCGGGAGGCGGAGCGGCCGGAGCACTGGCCGGCGCACAAGGGCCACTGGCTCAATTCCCCATCAGGGCATGTGTCCAGGTTTCGGGCCCCATCCCCAGTGTGGAGCGGGCAGGAGGCCGCCAATCAATGTTTCTTTCACATCAATGCTCCTCTCTCTCCCTCTCCCTTCCCCTTTCTCTAAAGTTAATTTTAAAAATGTTTTAAGAAGGTAAATGAAAATAAATCAGCCTAAAACCGCCACAGGAGAACCTCGGGAAACTCCCACAGCTACAGCCTGGCCTCCACCTTTGTCCGTGCTCCTTGGGGCACGGGGTGGACACCGTGTAATTCAGCAAAGCAGGACATTGCGCCACCTACTCTGCTCCCAAAGCGCTAAGGACAAATGCCGCCAGGTGCCAGGGGCTCTGCTCCCCACTCACCATGAAGAAGACCCAGGCGGGGACCAGCATGGCCACGGCAGCGGCGCTGGTGTAGAACTGCAACTCGGCCGCCCTGCGGGCACAGCACGCCTGAGACACCCGGACTCACGTGAGAGCAGCAGAAGCACCGAGCAGAGCAGGCAACAGGCTCCCAGGGTGACAAGGAGGCTCCCGGGGGGACCAGGAGGTTCCCGGGGTGACGAGGAGGCTCCCGGGGTGACGAGGAGGCTCCCGGGGTGACGAGGAGGCTCCCAGGGTGACAAAGAGGCTCCTGGGGGGGACCAGGAGGCTCCCAGGGTGACAAAGAGGCTCCCCGTGGGGGACCAGGAGGCTCCCGGGGCGACGAGGAGGCTCCCGGGGGGGACCAGGAGGCTCCCCGGGGGGGACCAGGAGGCTCCCCGGGGGGGACCAGGAGGCTCCCCGGGGGGGACCAGGAGGCTCCCCGGGGGGGACCAGGAGGCTCCCCGGGGGGGACCAGGAGGCTCCCCGGGGGGGACCAGGAGGCTCCCCGGGGGGGACCAGGAGGCTCCCCGGGGGGGACCAGGAGGCTCCCCGGGGGGGACCAGGAGGCTCCCCGGGGGGGACCAGGAGGCTCCCCGGGGGGGACCAGGAGGCTCCCCGGGGGGGACCAGGAGGCTCCCCGGGGGGGACCAGGAGGCTCCCCGGGGGGGACCAGGAGGCTCCCCGGGGGGGACCAGGAGGCTCCCCGGGGGGGACCAGGAGGCTCCCCGGGGGGGACCAGGAGGCTCCCCGGGGGGGACCAGGAGGCTCCCCGGGGGGGACCAGGAGGCTCCCCGGGGGGGACCAGGAGGCTCCCCGGGGGGGACCAGGAGGCTCCCCGGGGGGGACCAGGAGGCTCCCCGGGGGGGACCAGGAGGCTCCCCGGGGGGGACCAGGAGGCTCCCCGGGGGGGACCAGGAGGCTCCCCGGGGGGGACCAGGAGGCTCCCCGGGGGGGACCAGGAGGCTCCCCGGGGGGGACCAGGAGGCTCCCCGGGGGGGACCAGGAGGCTCCCCGGGGGGGACCAGGAGGCTCCCCGGGGGGGACCAGGAGGCTCCCCGGGGGGGACCAGGAGGCTCCCGGGGGGACCAGGAGGCTCCCCGGGGGGGACCAGGAGGCTCCCGGGGTGACGAGGAGGCTCCCGGGGGGGACCAGGAGGGCCTGTGCCTACTGAGCCCACCCGCACAGCCACGGGAGGGAAAGGTGGCCCGTCCGGGGCCTCCATGGGCCACGGGGCTTTTCTCCCGAGTCCCACGGTCACTGAAAGCCCCCCTGCACCCAAGGGAGCGGCGAGGTCCCGGGCACTTGGCCCGGCCTGGGAAGCAGTGATACTTACGAGAACCTGTACTTATCCCCACTGAGGAGCTTTTTGGAAAAAACATTCTGTAAGCTGGAATGAAGGAGAGAAGAGGTTACCATCGATGCAGGAAGTCAGTAGGGAACCTGAAATGGACAAGGTGTCTTTCTCACGGCGAGGTTGAGCAACAGGCCTGTGGCCACCCAGCTCTGAGGTGTCAGAGGACCCCACAGCCCCCCTCTGAACCAAGAGTCCCCCTAAATCAGCACCTGCCGCGGGCCGGCACACAGGAAACGGAACAGGAGCTCAGGCTCATGAACTCCCGAAGGTGACAGACACGTGGGAAACCACACACACACACACACACACACACACACACACACACACACCTGCGCGTGCACACACACACACATACCCGCGCACACACATGACTGCACACACCTGCGCGCGCGCACGACTGCACACACATATGCAGACTTGCACATGTGCACACATACACTCACACGCATGACTGCACACACGTATGCACAGACGTGCACGTGTGCACACGCGCACGCGCACGCGCACGCGCACGCGCACGCACACCGACCAAGCCCTAGAGAAAGCCAGACAGCGTCTGCCGGGAAGCAAGGGGCTGCCCTGGCGAGTGGCGCTGCTCGCGCGACTCCAAGACCGGCACGTTGTTTCATGAAAAACCTGGCGAGACAGTGAGACAGGAACTCTCACGGTCGGGCCTGGAGCCAGAACGATGGCTCTGGAGACACTGACAGCCCAGATGGAGCCTGGCAGAGCCCTGGGCTCCGCTCCTTCGGGAACCGCTGCTGCAGGACCATCGGACACGGGGCCCGGCCAGCGGGGCTCAGTGGTTGAGCATCGACCAATGAACCAGGAGGTCACGGTTCAATTTCTGGTCAGGGCACAGGCCCGGGTTGTGGGCTCCATCCCCAGTGGGGGGCGTGCAGGAGGCAGCCGATCCATGATTCTCTCATCACTGATATTTCTCTCTCTCCCCCTCTCCCTTCCTCTCTGAAATCAATAAAAACATATTGTTAAAGAAAAAAAGAAAAGTGGAGGGAGGCTCATGGAAAAAAATGCCTCCTGTGACTTAAACAGAAGGCTCGGTCTGTGTGTGTGTGGGGGGGGAGCATGAAGTCCGCGCAACTGAGGCTGCGGGCGTGGGTGCAGGAGGTTGTGTAGGTCGGTCAGTCGGTCACGCTTCTAGGAGCCGCAGTGGCGGGGCCTCGCCTCCGGGAGTTGGAAGTGGAATTAAAGGTGTTTATGTCTCAGCAGATGATCCAACCTCAAGCCCCACTTTGGTGGTGACGGGGACCCCGGTCCCCGTGGCTGTGTTTCCTCTTCTCTCAGCAAAAGGGCAAAACTGAGTGTGATTATTGGTTCTGAAATGCCGGGCTGCCTGCAGGGCGGACCTCACCGACACTGATGCAGCGCGACTCCCAGAGGTCCACGCAGCAGCCAGGACGCAGCTCGGGCCTCGGGGACCTGGCTCCCTGCACTCCACGGCCCTGGTGAGCGTTCTTAAGGGTCAGGCCATGAACCATCAAGTTCTAGCTTGTTTTTGAGAAAAAGTTACCGCGTTGAGGACCCTCCAGTTTTGCTCTTTAGGAAAAGGCAGCAGCAGACATACTGGCCGAGCTCTGAGTGGCGGGAAGGAACTGAGCTGCCCTGGACTTAAACACCCGTCCCCCAGCTGAGGCAGGTGAGCTGTGCGCCCCGGGCACACGGTGGCCCCACAATCCCCGGACTCACCAGTCCATGATGTTGGTGGACAGCGCGGCTGAGAACCCCAGGATGTTGAAGCTCATCTCGGTGGCTGTGCACAGTGCCAGGCCCCCCATGACAGGGATGAGGGAGAGGTTGACCAGCAACCCTGCAGAGGAGGACAAGGGGGCCCAGCTGTGACCTGGGAGCCCGGCTGTGACCTGGCTGTGACCTGGGAGCCTGGCTGTGACCCGGGAGCCCGGCTGTGACCATGTGTGTCCCCGCCGCTCCTCTGGGAGCCACGCTGCCTCCTGCCTTCCCAGCGCCTTTGTCTCTGTGCTGGAGGGAGGCAGAGGCACAAGAGCCCACCCCTGTCAATGCGAGGCCCCCCGATGGTGGCCTCTGCCGGGCCTGGGTGACCCCCAGGCTGCACAAGTTCTCACCAGCAAACAGGAGAGGAAGGGAGATGGGCTCAGGGATTCTATTAAAAGGAGAAACCGGGGGTGGGGAGACTCAGCGGCTGAGCCCACGAGGTTTATTCCTTTCATTCGGCACCGAAACCCGGGCGTGAGAGGCAGACAGCCCTCTTGTACGGGGAGGGCCTCGCCCACGAGAAGGGACCCTCGGCACCTGCTCTGATGTCTGAGGCAGCGTGGACGCGGGTGTGAGCCCTTCCTGTTCAGCAAAGAGGAAGCAGCACAGCCTCCGACCACGGCCACGTCCTCGTCCCAGGGCCCTGCTGCCCTGAGCGCAGCTCCAGTTCCCCAGGCCGCGGCCGGCCGGCAAACCCACTGCCCAGCGCCTGGGGCAGGAACTGCCTCCACCCAGTGCCCAGCTCTCGCCTTGGGCTCTGCCCGGGGATTCTGCTGCTGAGGACAATGCGTGTGAACTGAGGGCCTGGACGTACGCCTGCCCCTCCTCAGGAAGGACCTGTCCTGCGTGCGTTTTGCTAAATTCCATTAAGACTTTCTCCCCTTTCTCAGAAGTCAGCTGGCCTGCGGGGGGTGGGGGGGGAGCGCTCACCCGTGTACTCCCCCAGGATCATCCGGGACATGATCACCGTGAAGATGGGGGCGGAGCTCTTCACCGTCTCGGCAAACGACACGGCCACATTCTTCAGGCTGACCAGGCCCAACACCACGGTGGCGAACCTAGAGAAGCCGGAGGGGGTCAAGATGGGCGCGCCCACCTGCCTCTGCCAGGAGCCAGCCAGGGGCCACACCTGAGCCCCCGCACGTGCTGTGCTGAGTCTGGCCCTCAGGAAATGGCCACCCGCCTGCAAGGGCCACTGTGGCCAGAGCGTGGGCCCCGAAGGAGGCGCATCACCCCGAAACCGTTACTAAGCTAGTTTCGTGGCCGCTCCAGAAAGGACCCATCGGGCACGAGATGCACAAAGCTGGGTGCACGCGCCGCCCTCAAACGTAGACTTCAGAGAGTTTGCATGGCACTCGCCTCCGACCAACGGTGACGTCACTCAGCCGCTGCTCACTCGGTGACAGGGAAGGCATTTTATTTTATTTTATTTATTTTGTTAAATCTGTTGTTAGTGATTTTTTTAGAGAGAGAGGAAGCGAGAGGGATAGAAAGATAGAAACATCAATGAGAGAGTAACATCTTTGATCAGCTGCCTCCTGCACACTCCCCACAGGGGATGGAGCCCGCAACCCGGGCATGTGTCCTGACCGGGAATCCAATAGAAGGCTTCTTGGTTCCTGGGTTGATCTCAACTGCTGAGCTACACCAGCCGGATGGTAAAGGCATTTTATTTTATTTTATTACTAGAGGCCCAGTGCACAAAATTCATGTGTGTGTGTGTGTGTGTGTGGGGGGGGTGTCCCACAGCCGGGCTTGCACCCCCTCACAATCCAGGACCACTGGCTCTTAACTGTTCTTTATTATTATAGATTCTTAAAAATTTATTTACTTATTTATTTTGAACCCTCAGCTGAGGATATTTTAAAAGGAGAAACTGGGGGGTGGGGAGACTCAGCGCCTGAGCCCACGCGGTTTATTCCTTTCATTTGGCACTGAAACCCCGGGCGTGAGAGGCAGACAGCCCTCTTGTACGGGGAGGGCCTCGCCCACGAGAAGGGACCCTCGGGCACCACTGTGACCTGGGAGCCTGGCTGTGACCCGGCTGTGACCCGGGAGCCTGGCTGTGACCATGTGTGTCCCCGCCGCTCCTCTGGGAGCCACGCTGCCTCCTGCCTTCCCAGTGCCTTTGTCTCTGTGCTGGAGGGAGGCAGAGGCACAAGAGCCCACCCCTGTCAATGCCAGGCCCCCCGATGGTGGCCTCTGCCGGTCCTGGGCGACCCGCAGGCTGCACAAGTTCAGAGATTTTTACAGAGATTGGATGAGAGAGGGGAAAACAGAGAGAAACACTGATGTGTAAGAAACACATCAATGTGTTGCCTCCTGCATGTGCCCTGACCAGTGCCTGGGCCGGAGAGGAGCCTGCAGCAGAGGTACATGCCCTTGACTGGAATTGAACCTGGGACCCTTTGGTCCACAGGCCGATGCTCTATCCACTGAGCAAAACCAGCCAAGGAGTCAAAAGCATTTTAAATAACGTGCAAAAGGACCCAGTCCCGCACCCAAATGCCAGGCCCTCACCTCATGAGGCCCACGAAGAGCATGGTCATGATGAAGTTGGGTGGGTAGGCGAGCCGGACTTTGTGCTGGTACAGGCAGCAGGGGACGAAAATCTTCAGGCAGCCGATGCATGTGGTGGACAGCATCTGCACTGCGCCTGCGGGACGGGGTTGCCAGTGGTGAGCTGTAGCCGTAGTCACGCCCACCTCTGTGCCCCCATCCAGCTCCGTGCCCTCACCCAGCTCCATGCCCTGCCCACCTGCCTGTGCCCCCCGGGGCCCAGCTCTGTTCCCCACCCACCTCTGAACCCCCACCTACCTCTGTGCCCTCAACCAGGTCCATGCCCCCCCCCAGCTGTTCCCCGC